ATTTCTACAACTACTTCGTGGACGGCATGCCTTCTTTGAACCGGCGCTTCACTACTGGAAACGATCCAATACTTACTGGCTCTTCTGTGCTGTACCAGTGGAAATCAAACTTCCAGTTTCCTCGGTGTGGGTTCAAGAAAGCAAATGGCAATACCTGCTACGCCCGCATTTGAATGCGCCCTGGGTACACAGAATCTTGCGCAAGGTGGGCTTCCGGGAACATCTTGTAGATTTTCGACGCCACTCGTTGTCGTCTCCCACTTCCCTCGGCTTGCACAAGCGCTTTCGACGACGACTACATCCGGATCTCCAACGGCAACTACGACCTGACACCCTGGATGACATTCAAGCCCACTACTCGATTCTCTATCAGCTGGGATCGAATACAGGAGCGTCGTTCCAAGTCATGCGTGACCTACTGTCGGCCGCTTTCCCTCCCACTCAGCTGTACTACTTATTGCGGCTCGCAGTCTTTGTCAACGAGCCCTTCCGCTCCAAGGCCCAGAAGCTCCTCGCCCAGGTACTGCGCAAACGACGGCTACAACCACCCACCACTTTAACACAGCTACTCTTGCCGCCGCTACATGTCCAGAATTGGAAAGCTCTACTGGGCACATGGTTACAAAGCTGGATTGCTTCTCATCGGGATCTGTTCCCTTCTCTTTTCATTCCAAAGATCCGGGTTGTGGAAACTCGCAGCGCCACATTGGGCGACAAGATATACAACTATCGCACATGGCAGCGCAAATGGACGCCTGACACATCCTTTCCGTGTCGCTGTTTGGACATCGATGATCACCATCTACACCGTGCACATGGTCACGCAGTAATGGTGGATGAGTTTTCTCGCATCAATGCGGACATTAACATTGAAATCATGGCCGCCTCAATGAAGGATCAGTTTTTCGGTGATGTCGACTTATTGCATCAACGTTTCACCACACAACTTCGCAAACTTGCTCGCCGCTGGCATGTACATGGTTCCGGTCTACTTTCAGATCTACAGCCGGTTGTGACTCAGTTAATGGATACTCATCGGATGAACCTCCAAGATCGGGCTTATTGGTCATCGACATCGTTGCAACGCACTGTGGCTTCTTTGTCTTCGTGGGTAGTTATCCCAGCGGATCATTTTCCCTCCCGCGCACATGTGATGTGCCCGTCCCTGTTTGCCATATTGATGCGGAAGACATTCTGCGCGGGGGATGTCTTCTCACTTTGCCGCGAATCCGCAGCATCCTTTCGCTCTGAAGTGGTAACCACGGTACCTTCTC